AGGCTGGTTTCGAACTCCTGAGCTCAAACAATCCGCCCACCTCGGCCTCCCAGAGAGCTAGGATTACAGGCGTGAGCCACCGCGCCCGGCCCTGACAATTTCTTTGTTGAAGAAACAGGATTGTTCTTCTGGATTTTTCTGATTTCATTCCATCATGTCATTTAAAATATTCCTTTTTTCATATATTTGCTGTAATCCAACATTCTAAAGACTTCATCTGATTTGGGTTTTGTATTTTGGCAAAAATTGTTAATAGGTGATGCTGTGTATATCTATCCAGAAGCGCATGATGTCTGGTGGTCCCTCTTTTGAGCTGTGAGTGAACATTGCTGGTCGTTGCCTAGATGCATTATTTCATGAGGGTGCAATCCAGTGATAGCCTACTTCTTATATTTCTTCTTTTTATCAACTGGAATACTTCTATAAGTTTCTATAAGAAACTTTTCTTCATCAACTATTTGGATACAACAAAGCACTGTTTGTATGGGAGAGTACCCAGCTCTTTAAAAAAAATTAATGAAATAAATTTCAGATTGTTATTTTTTAAAATTTCATTTTAGGTCTTGATACTTTTGTTAAGAGCCATCCTAAAATACAAGACTGTTTCTTTTCAAGGGAATCTGGAAATTAAATTATTTCTGGCATCAAGTCTTAAGCCAGCCAATCTTTAAAAAGATGTAATGAATAAAATGATCTGACGTGTACTAGCGTGAAATTTGACATTTAATCACTTACTCTAATTTTTACTGTTTTTTTTATAGTCAAAAGAGTATCAGAAGATTAGGATATACATACTCACTTAGTGACTCTATTCCCAATCAGACACAATACAATGATGAGTACGTCTGGAAAGCATATTCTAAAGAAGAGTTGATCAACCCTGGGACTTCAAGAGGAACCAGGAGCCACAAGTCTCACCCCAATGAAGTAAGATAACATCTGCATACCTGCTGGATTTAATACCTTAAGAATGAGAGTTTGAATATTTTGTAAAGACCCTTCATCTTCCACAGTCATAGCATACACAGTCCCTCTTTGACTAGTTTTTGTCTACCTTCTCACATTTATTTCTAACCACTTCTCTATCCCCTAGGGGTTTTTTAAGACTTTTAACAATTGAAGTGAAATTCACATAATGTAAAATTAATCATTTTAATGTGAACAATTCACTGGCACTTAGTATATCCATGCTGTTGTGCAGCCATCACCTCTACAGTGTTCTAAAACATTTTCATCACCCTAGAAGGAAACCCTATACTCAATAAGCAGTTACTTCCACTCCCCTAACCCTAAGCCCCTGGCAACCACCAGTCTGCTTTCTCTCTCTGTAGATTACCTATTCTGGATATCTTACATGTGGGATCATATAGTAGGTCACCTTTTGTGCTTGGCTTCTTCACTCAGCATGCTTTTGAGTTTCAATCATATTGTAGCAAGTATCAGCACTTCATTCTTTTTCATGGTTGAATCATACTCTATGGACATAGCACAATTTGTTATCCGTGTATCTGTTGATAGATATTTTGGTTGTTTCTACCTTTTGAGACTATTTTGAATTGTGCTGCTACAATAGGCGTGTATAAGCACTTGTGTTTGGTATTAAGTTTTGTGTATTCTCAACCTCCAGGTCTTTTATTATTCTGTTGCCTCTATCTAGAATGCCCTTCTCCTGTGCACCAAGGGAACCCCTATATTTTTCCAAAGCTCAGCTCAAAGAGAGCCATCTCTAAGTCCTTTCTCCCTTGGATGGAAGTAACTAATCCTCCCTCTGTGTTTTCTTGGCCTTGTATACCTCTCTCCCACCAGGAAAGGCAATGCTTAGTTGTAGTAAATGGTTTCATTTAGTTGGCTGCCACCTGGGATGGAGCCACCTGGAGTGGAGCCACCTGCATGCATTCCGTAGATGATACAGTGGTAGAATGGACAGGATTTGATGACTATCAGGATGTGAAAGATAAGGAAGAGGAAAGAGGGAGGGATGACATCTATCCTGACGTGGACAGCTGGGCATATGCTGATGCTGTTTATTGAGCTGGAACATGGCGGATGACCAGGTTTGGTGGGGAAGGACACAGGGGAAAATGGGAGTTCAATTGAAGACGTGTTGGATGAGGGTATATCTAAGAGGCAGTTGAATATACAGGTCTGGAACCTGGGGGAGAGAGATGAGCTGGAGATATAGACTTCAGAGTCATACACACATAACCCGTTTAACTTGGTTCCTTATGACATCCATTCATTATAACCTATTTACCTCTTGAATATTTTCTTCAATATTTAAAAATTAATGTGAAATACTTGATTATAATATTATACTATATATGTATATATGCATACACATACACACAAGCATATAATTTTCCCTTCCTCTAAGTGCTATCGAACGAAGGCTCTCAGCCAAGGAGAGGTAGTGTGGCAGACTGTCTTGTCCTGAGCCAATGAGAGCTAGCCTGGCAGACTGCCCTGTGTGTTCTCAGCCAATAAGAGCTAGCATGGCAGACTGCCGTGTGTTCTCAGCCAATGAGTGTTCACATGCCAGACTGCAGGCCCTATTAATCCAGGTTTTGAACATCAACAGCTGCTAACATCACACAAAAAGAAACAACCATATATTACATGCCTCCTGCAGTCTTGCCAAACACCACTTATAGTCTAGTCAAAGATACTGAATCTGAATCTGAGTCTCTGGATCCAGCTGCCAATTTGCAGGAAATACAGGGAACAGAGGAATGTATGCAGTCAACAAAATCCAGACCATCTGAACCTCTATACATCAAACAGCTTCTTCAACAGATAAATTATAATTGGTTTCTCCAGTAGGTAAATTATGGGGGGAAAAAAGAGGATTGCAAGAGAACCTGAAAATTAAATGAGTTTCGAAAGACATATTTGGGACAGTGAGTATGCATAATGATTTTGAGGAATTTCAGTGTAAAAGGAAAGTGAGAATATCTTAGTAACTAGAGGGGGAATTCAAGTGAAGAGAGTGTTTTCTTTTTAAGGGAGGAGAAATAAAGCCATGCTTGGATACTAATGGCAATGATCCAGCAGGCAGGGAGAAATTGAAGTTGCAAGAGAGAAGTAAAATTGTTGGAGCAGGTTGCCACAGTATGTTAATGGAAGCTCTGTAAAATAATTTAAAGAGGTTTATTCCAAGGTTTATTCACACACACCATGTGTGTGACCATGGCCTGGGGAGCCAACCCAAGAAGTCTTGAGCAGGTGGTCCCAAGGTGGTCAGGTTACAGTTTGGTTTTATACATGTTAGAGGGACAGGAGTTGCAGGTAAAATCATAAATCAATGCACGGAAGGCATACATTGATTTGGCCTGAAAAGGTGAGACGTCTTGAAGCAGGGGCTTATAGGTGGGATCTCAGATTCTTTGATTTGCCATTAGTTAAAGAAACAAAGTTTTGTCTAAAGCCTTGGAAGATAAGGAAGTCTGTTAATCAGAGAAAAACCGCAGTATACTGACTCAAGCGATCTGTTAAGCAAACTGATGGCCCGCAGGTGGGATTTTACTTTTGCCCTGCATGGCCTTAGGCCCTGTTAATAATTTAGCATCTTATTGTCACCAGAGTCTGTTTTGTTAGTCTTACGGTCTCTCTTTTAACATTAATGCTGGCCAGGAACTGTTTTAGGGTCTTTCTGGAGTCCCCGTGGCAGGGGGGCTTAGAATTTTATTTCTAGTTTACAAGTAGACTGGGATCTTGTGCTCCAGGCGGGGCCGGCCCTCCCGGGAGCGCGTGTGTCTCCTCTACCATCACAGCGTCTGCGAGTGCAGGTGCAGTGGCCGGGAGCTGGTGTGGTGGGCTGTGCAGGCTCTCTGCTGGTGGCTTCAGAAGGCAAGGTCATGAGAAAGAGGGAAGACGGAAAGCGGGGTGGAAGCTTCAAGTTTTATAATAATAAAAGCTGTTTGCGGGGTGGGGTAGTGAGGGGAGAGGAGAGAGTGCCTGCCCTCGCCTGTCCTTCAGCACGTTGCTGAGGCCTCTGCATGAGGCAAGGCTTCCCTCTGGGGCTCCCAAGGGAAGAGCAGCCACTGTCTGTGCTCCTTGGGAATGTCTGACCAGAGACAGGATTAATGTGGGTTTTCTCCTGCCCTCGCCTTGTCTGTGGGAGATTTCTGGTTAGAAGCACAACTCTTTGAAGTTTTCAATCTCATTGTCTTGTCATCAATATGGAAAGTCAAAGAAATGCACGAAGTACCTGCCTTACAGCTAGGTAAACCAATGGCTCCTTGCATACAGGCAACTTCAGCGCAGTAACTGGGTGTAAAGGATTCAAAAGCATGTGTACACGTGAATACTCATGTTCTTGATCCCATTGGGATCCATATGGATTTTCTTGAAAATTGCTTTGCATTTATAGGGCTATTTTATGTGGACACTACCTCAAGGTCAACAAAGGACAACATTAAGGGGCTGCCCCCCTTCGACAATCCCAGCTTCAATGGAAGAAATTAAGAAAGCGATATCAAATCAGTTTGTTTCCATTACTCGGAGAGACTTTGTGGACATAGCAGAAGGTAAACATGTTCGTTTTTCTTTTTCCCGTCGTCATGTGATAGGCACTGGAGATGCAGTGATGAGCAGCTTGGATGTGGTCTCTTCCCTCAAGGAACTCACGGTGTAGACAGGGAAACAGGCAATTTTGCAAACAAGAACTGTCCAGTATAATAAGGTGAACCTTGTAAGAAATGCGGGTTGCAGGGGGTGCACGGGAGGATGTCCAGCCTAATGTGGGGAGGGGGTCAGGAAAGGCTTCCGTTCCTGGGCCTGAAGGATGAAGAGGAATTAGCCAGATGAAGACCGTAGGGAAGAGTGTTGTTGTTGGATTGTGACTGCCTAGAGGAATATTTGTGGAACTAAAAGAACTTCAGCATGAGTAGAACAGCCAGGGGTGAGGGGAGGGCTAAAGAAGAGACCACCGTGCACAGACAGCATCCAGTCTGGAATGGTTTTGCAATTAAAAGGTTTTTACGAGGGTAGTGACACCATTCAGATGCGGGCTTTAGAAGCCTCACGCTGGCTGTGGAGTGAAGAGTGGAGGTGGCCCAGTCTGGAGGAAGGAGGTCAGAGCAGCCCAGGGAGGAGCAAGGTGGCTTGATGCTGGGCAGTGGCAGTGCAGGTGGAGGCACAATCAGCAGGGTGTGGCCGGGCACTTGAGTAGATGATGTTTCTGAAACCGCAAAGGGGATCCAGCCTAGGGCTGGTTGCTCACTGCACAGAAAGCCAATTACTGAGATGATGAGAGTTGCCAAGGGAGAAAGGAATTTTTAATACAAATGACCTCAGCCGGGAGACGGGGGAAGCAACCTCAAATCCATCTCCCGGTTAACAGAGAGTAGGGGCTTTTATAAGGGGTAGAGGAATGTGGCTACTTGCATCTGATAGATTGTGTTGAAATCAATGCAGGTAGTTTGTGCAAGTTAGTGAGGGATGGCGATTCTTAGCATCAGGAGCAAATCTGGAGGCATCACTTTACCTGACTTCAAATTATGTGACAAGGCTATCATAACCCACACAGCATGGTACTGGCATAAAAGTAGACACATAGACCAGAGAGATGCCAACTTCTTTCCCTGCTTTGGCCAGTGTTCAGGCCAGCACTTCATTGCTGACGTTCTCTTCCCCACCTCCTTCTGTGGTTTCACTTTGTCATTCTGGACACCCCAGCTTAGACATCTCCTCCTCTGTGCAACCTTTCCTTGCTATTTTATCCAAAGAGACCTGCCAACCTCTCATTTGTTTCCTTCCAGAACTTCCTATTTTGAAGTCATTTGTTACTGATTCTTGTTTTCTGTTGTTTTCATTTTACTCTTTCCTCCACTATTCAGTAAGCTCCCCGAGGCTGTCATTCACTCAGGGCTGGGTGCAGTGACTGGTATACAGAAGGAGCTCTGTAACTATTTGCTGAATGATGGACAGACTATACAGGAAGTACCTTTTCTCAAGCTCTGTGGATACGGAATAGAAAGACCTCTATAACTGCAGGTAAACATTAAGGGTCATGGGGAAACATTGGACATGTCAGCGTTTTTAAAAGATGTTTTTGAGCTTCCAATCAAAGTTGTCCATTCAGCCGTGGCAGAATACCATTCCCCGTGAGTGGGTAAATACTCAGGACCTGTCGAGACACCTCCTGATCTCCTGCCTCCGTCTGCTTCTCTCCCTTCCCTCGCCCTGCCTTGGTTCAAGCTGCCCGTGTCTCTCTGCTGGTGATCACTGCAGCCCCCCTGCCAGTGCAGTTCCCTCAAATCCACCGTCCGTGCTACAGCCATAGTGAGTCTCCGGATGGGCAAATTGATGTCATTTTACAGCGTAAAACCCTTTAGTGACTCCCTGTTGTCCTCAGGGTAAAAGCATTTGCCTTACGTGAGTCCTGTTCGGTCTGGTCCTGGCCAGCCCCCGACCTTCTCCCTCGCCAGTCCCCACGCTCATGGCCGAGACCGAGCGGCCAGCCGTCCTCCAGTCTTGCACCCCTCCTGCGGCCTCGTGCTGTCCGCTCACATTGCTTCTGCCTCGGAACACCTCCCCCTCCCTTCACTTAGCCCCTGTCTATGCGTAACTCAAGTCCAGGTGTCGGTTCATTTCTATCCTGGAAGCCTTCTCTGGTCGTCCACTTTGGGTCATGGTCCTCCCATGTGTTTTTAGCAGCCCCCGTTCTTATCTCTTTCGCAGGACTTATCACGTGACATTGTAATTATCTTTTGTGTGTGTGTTTGCTTCTCCAATACTTGAAGCGTCTGAAGCACGGGCCATGTTTTAGGCTTGTATCCTCATGAATGAATCAATGCAAGTGAGTGAGAAGCACGAAAAGGTGCTTGTTTCCACATTCGGGCTTGGAGGACATGGCTTTGGTGAATCAGAGCAGCTGATATAGGCAGCACGACTAGCTCCCACTTAGCTGAGATTATGTGCCAGTGCTCCTAATGGTTTTGAGCGGTCCTTGCTGAAAGTTTACTTTTGGATTGGGCCTTTCTGCAGATGCCATGCACAATCTTACAATGGGCCGATTTCTTTCTTTGGGCTAAACCACTCTAGTATCATAGTTACCAAGAGGGAAAGAAACGAGGGGAGCTGAGCCCCTGGGGAGCAGGGATGGCCCCCTGGAAGGATCTTTGGGTCAGGTTCTCTCTGAGTCATGGTTATTATTTCTGTCTATACTTCAGCACCACTGTGGGGCTTCAGGTGTTGATTGGATCCCTTTACATCAGGAACCTCCCTTCTTTCTAATGTGTGCAGGAGCTCATTAACGTGAATTGTGCAGAGACAATAGCAGCCTTCCTTTGTTGAGAAGAACAAAGCCCACACTATGGAATGAACAATACACCGTTTATTAGGAGTCACCTTAAGCATGGACCACACAGGCAGTCACTGGAGTGCGGTTCAGATATTAATTGCTAATCCATGACAATTGTGTTTCTGGGTGTTTTTTTGTTCACTCATTAATTTAATAAATATTTAATGAAGTCTATTGCTGTGGTAAGTACTGAGAATCAATGAAGAGTGAGACTTAGTCTTTGTCTCCAAAGGAACGCAGGCTAAGTCTAGGCCCTGGTTTTTGCTTTTTCTGGATCTTTATCTCCACAGGTCCATCCTGGTGCATGTGGACCAGATGTTTAAGACCCTTTGGAGCCTGGCCCCAACTTACCTCCCTTGTTTCACCCCCAACTACTCCTCCCTTCCCTGCACACCCTGCACTTCTGCCAACCAGCCACATTGCCTGGACATGCTGGGGACTGTTTGCTTCCATGCTGACCTGTTATCAGAGCCCTGCACTGTGTCTGCCTCTTAGTCCTTGTCTTCCTTCTCCTCCCCCGACACAACCCCTCAGTCTCAGGGCTTCCCCATCGCCTTATTCAAAGCCTCTGAGTCAGTGATTCTTAAGCATATGAGAAGTTTGTTCACAGGGTAAGTGGCTGGGGCCCCCACTTCGAGAGACTCTCAATGTCTGGGATGAGGTTCAGCAGTTATATTCTGAGAAACCCTTCCTAGGTGACTCTGACGTCTTATCTCCATGCGAGAAGCACAGTTCCCAGTGTTATGCTTGCAAGATTTATCGCATTCCACATCTGTTTGTCCTGCAGATATCTTTCTAATCACACTAGTTGTCTCAAGGTAGAACAATGGCTTAATTATCTATAACCTTGGTGAACAGCACAGAACACATAGAGAAACTGAAAACATTTGCTATCGAATGGTAGCTCTAGGGAAGAGATACAGATATATGTGTCAAGTATTTCAATGGATATTTGTTTTTCCCTGTAAAGCTATTAGTACATTATAAAAAACAAGTGTCTTAGTCCATTTTGTGCTGCTGTAACAGAATACCTGAGACTGGGTAATCTATAATTAACAGAAATTGATTTGGATCCTGGTTCTGGAGGTTGGGGAAGCCAAGAGCATAGCGCTGGCATCTTGCCAGAGCTATATTCTTGCTGTGTCATCCTGTGGCAGAAGGTAATAGGGCAAGAGAGTGTGAGAGTGAGAAAGAGTGGGAGGGAGCCACACTCATCCTTTTATCAGGAAGTGACTCTTGCAATAACTAACCCACTCCCACAATAAGAGCATTAATCCATTCATGAGGACAATGATCTAATCACCTCTCGTTAGCCCCATCTCCCAACACAGTTGCACTGGTGATTAAGTTTCCAACACGTGCTTTGGGGGGACACATTCAAACCATAGCACTAAGTTGTAGATGGAAATTATAAGAACAGTATCAGATGATTTCCAAAATATCTTAAGGCGTGCTCTGATTTTGAGCCCTACAATTTTCTTCTCTCTGTAAACTGTCTGCTCAGGGGCAGTTTATGAGGCCACTATGAGGAGCATTGAGCACCTGCATCCTCTCCTCCAAGGTCATCTAAAGTAAGAGGCCACATGGAGTGGAACCTTCTCCTCCTCTGCTGGTCTAGACAGAAATTATTTTTTAAAAATCAATATAAAAATGCTCTCAGGTGCCAGTAGATACAATTATGTATCCTTTGATATACAGTGTATACCAGCAGATGCCATTAACCATCATTGGACAGACAATGTAAATTAGAATTTATTTTGAAAATATCTCTTGAAAAACTAATTTGGAGGAGAATTGAGTTCAATGTCAATAGTAATTTGCACTGTTTGGACATCGTGCATGAAGCCCATGTTTTTAACATCTTCCTCCTTCTGAATAAAGATGATATTGTTTGATGTGGGTCTGAACTAAGGCTTTATAGCAGGAATTAGGGGCGAACTCATTCCAAGTGAGATAGACGGCTTGTAACTCTCTCCTCTCTAATCTGTTAATGTTTGTGGAACTAACTTCAGTGCTTCATAGATATTTACTGATGATATATTTAATGAATATGTTTTAGCAGAGATATTTCAAAGAAATAATAGTGCTATTGTCCACTAATGACAATGATGTTACCTAACCTTCCATCAGTGAGGGATAAGCTTTGAATGGGTCTTTCCCAGGTAATGGGGATGACATACACCACCCCATCTAGGGCTATCAGATTAAGCAAATAAAAATGTAGAATGCCCAGTTAAATTTGAATAATGACATACAGTAGATAATGAGTACTTACATATACTTATACTAAAAAAGTATTTATTGTTTATCTGTAATCCAAATTTAACTGGGCATTCTGTGTTTTATATGGCAACCCTATCCCAAATCTCTCGCTGTGCTGCCTGCTCAGCCCCAGGCACTCGGCAGTCCGGGGGGAGTGATCAGTGCCTTCTGTGCCTGCCAAGCAAAACAAACGAACACTCCTCACTGCCATACAAATACATTCATTAGAAACTACGTCTAATCATTTGAGCATATACTTCCTGTGACTGATAAAGCAGAAAATTATTTCTTGGTTGAGGTGTCCATAAAAAGTACATCGACTGTTCCTCCAGATACAAGAGTGGGTTTTTAGTACGATAAATTGAAAGCTACTGCCAGAAGCAAAATGGAATGAAAAGCTACTTAAAAATAGCTTATGATGCGTAATTATCGTCTTCTGTTTCTACCCTCACCCCAGCTCATAAGATTAAGAAAAGTTCTCAGGTGTCTCTGGAACGGAAAAAGTTTCTTCCCCGACCTCTAGACACTGAATTTCGACGGAATTATCAAATTCCAGCTAAAATTCCCGAGCTTCAGGATTTTAGTTTCAAATATGGATGCTACTCAAGCCTGCCAGTTGCTTCTCAGGGTCCAGGTGAGTATGCCTGTAGTTTTTAAAACAACTGTTATAGATCCTAAGCCCTGGATCCAAGACTTCTCAGTACAGAGGGCCCTGGCAGCCAATTTTGATAACGGTCACAGAGAAAGCCAGTGTTCTGGCATGGGATTCGAACCTTGTCACCGTGGCTCCCAGCCTGAAACCCATGGAACTAGTAGATCCCAGAAGAGGAATGATGGCTTATGCCACGAAATGAATACAGTCTCTGCCTAGGAGAAGCAGTGACTGGGATGGGAGACACTTCCTCCTTACGAAGTAAAAGGAAGGACACGGTGGCTATAAAATGACAGAAAAACAGAGTAGGTGGAATGCAGTTAGTCTTGTCTATTATCCTCATGGCGCACCGCTTGAAACTTTTTAAAGTTCCATGCCCAAGCCACCCCCAAGCTACTGATTAAGAGGAAAACTTGGTGTCAGTCTGAAACATGATTTATTCCTGGCATGGAGTTGGGATCAAGTAGTACTTAAGATAAAAATCACAGAATAGAAGCTTAGCATCTTGGGGGCAGAAAGTAGCCTAGAAGTTAACCTCGTCTCCAGCCTCATGTCGTGTATGAATCTCCTCCACCCTGTCCTTGCTGAGAGGTGATACTGTCCCTGTGTACACACTTCAGAGTAGTGTCCTGTCTCCAACTGTTTAAAAAGTTGTAGCAGCTGGAATATTCCTTGCTAAACTTCTACTTATTGGTTCTACTTTTTCCCATGAAAGTTAATAGCATAAATCTATCATTCTATAAAAACCTTATCATATGCCTTCCAAGTCTTCTCTTTTCCAGACCCTACAAATGTTCTTTTCAGGGTGTAGTAGCAAATCCCCTCAGCAATGTAGTCCCCACCTTTGGCCAGTGGCCCCTTCTAGGGGACACCTGGAACTGGAAGGTGCTCTTAAGGTTTACAAAGATTGGGCAAGTTGGAGAAATTAGGTTTTCACATCAGGTCATCAGTATTTTTTTTCACGATAGTTTCATGAATATCAGAACCCACATTAAGTGAACAATATTCAGAATCAAATATAAGTAATCACTTTGATTTGGGGGTGGACTGCATCTCATACCCCATGAGTCTGAATGGAAAATGAGTGCTCACTATCGCTCTTTCAAACTGCTTGGTCAGAGACGCTTGAGTCCCTGGGAGGTGGCTTCTTAGTGTGCCATCCCAAGTCTGCACAGGAGATGTCCTGAAAGAAGAAGCAACTTCTATGAGAGCCTTTGTTTATTATGCAGGTGGTGGATGTGGCCATTGTAGGGGCCAGGGACAACTTTCCCTTTTGCCCTCTGAAGGTTTGCTGAAAAATCAACTGATAAAAGGCAGACTGAAAGGAGAAAGGGTATACAAATTTATTAATGTGCCCAGGAGTCATACAAAATATAAGATCTCAAAGAAATGGCCAGGTGGTTGTCAATTTTATAGCATCTTAAGGTTACAGAAAGAATGTGGGCTCCGAGCTTGGCAAAACAGGTTACAGGAGGAGGGAAGCGGGGAGGCCTGGCTAGCAAAGGTGGTCTCGTTATGCAGAAGAAACCTCACCAGCAGTAGCCCTCAGACAGAATATCTGGTAAATGTTTCTTTCAGACCGTTAAAGGCACCAGGCTCTCAGCTAATCTCTCCTAGATTCAGACGAGGGAGGGGCCCAGAGAAAGCCTGGCTGCCTCAGTGCCGACTGTCTCTCCAGATGCAAATCTCCCCCACAAAAGCCAGCTTTGCAGGGCTACTTCTGTCTGCAGGCCCTCTGAACAACCATCTCAAAATATGTCACAGAAGTATATGTTGGGTGAAATATTTTGGTTTCCTTCCCCATCCTAGCACACCGAGCTGCGTAACAATCCAGTTCATGGAGAACTCCTTTCCTGAACGTGGTGGGCAAACTCACCCTCTGGCCACTGTCTCCCCTCCCACTTCCAACGGCCACAGTCCGGAAGTCCCAGCAGCTCTGCCCCACCCCAGTCGCAGCAGGAATGGGTTTCACTTGGCGCCTTCGTTTCCACTATCATTCAGGATGCCGATTGGGCTCCAAGTTGGGCTCAGGGCTCAGGGGTGCGTTCAGACAAGGGCAGGGATGCTTTGCTTGGGTGACTGTCTCTTGTCCCCCGTGTGTTCCACAGTCCCGTCCATGCTGCACAGCTGCATAAGGAATCAAGCGCGCACGAAGAAGCAGACCACATACCAAAGCGACTACGAGAGAGCACACCTGGATTTCTTGATGCTTTTGGACTCCTTTTCTCCCTCTCAAGTCAAGGAGTACCTTCAGAGTGTTCCCTACAAAGGTAAGATGAGGCCTTGAGTTACCACTTCATGCACTTGTGGACCATAATCCATTGCTTCACGCCAAATAGAAGTTGTTCCAGTGTCTAGCCACGGGAGCTGAATGCCCACAAAAAGGAAAATATTGCCTCAAAAAAAAAATATCTTATAGTGTTGTGCTAACCTCAATCCACTGAAAAGAAATTTCTCTGTAAAGAGGCCCCAGTGACTATATTCCCACTTACTAAAAAGGAGACATACAGCTTTGCACTCATTTCTGAACTCATTTTGCCTATGGTTGAATTGCTCCGGGGTGGTTTCTCTTTTTCTTATAGCTAATTGATTTTCTCCAGTGGGTGTTTGTGCTATCTCATCATTTTGTTTTATTCTGTTTAATTTTATTTCCTGTTGGCTGGTACTTTTTGGTGACAGGCTTTTTAAGGTACATGAGACGTGCCATATATCACACCCTCAAAGAGGGCAAATGCCATTCTCAGGATGGTGTAGCGTCACTCCACACGACAAAGACTTATCCCAGTTCAGGACTGAGTGGTGAGTGTCCAGATCTGGGAGCATCTCAGTGGCAACTAGTCAGTCTAACTGAGGGTGTGCAAAGTGTCAATGCAGAGAATGAAAGAGTTTGAGGAGGGGGCATCGCATGCCCCCATTCCTCACACATGAGCACACAGCCCCATGCAGATGTATATATTTACATAAAGTGCATTCATATGCCACTAAACTAATGTATCACATACATTATAAAACATACAGATAAAGGAGGAAGTAAAAAGCAAATATAAGCGGAGGTTCTAATATTTCTTCCTGCACCCAACAGATCATCCTCTGAACCCCACTTTGCACTCTAGGTATGTGGGGCCGCTAACTTGTTTTGTGCCCCATGATGAATTAAACTCAGGACTTCCCCCAGCTACGCAGGAGCCCTCCAACTGTTCTCTGTCTCCTACCTGACTCTCTTGGGTCCCCAGTTGCTGTCCCCAGCCACAGTCAGAAAAACTTACTCCTCTGAAATCCTTGTTGAAACCCTTCTTCTCTGGGAACTCCTGCCCCAAGCTAGACTGAAACCTCCTGCAGGGAGTTGTGTGTGTGTATGTGCACATGTGTGTGTGTTGGGGAAAGAAGCGTATTTTCCACCCTCACAGACTGAGGACGGAAGGCCTAAAGACCCCTAAAAGAGCTTTAGTGTTGGGTTTCAGGGAAGTGCAAGGAGCAGATGTTTGGCCCCATGTTGAGGCAGAAGCAGAAGTAGGTATTTTCTACTGGGAGGCTCATTCCTCACAGCAGAGGCCTCTGGGCCAGTCTGATGCTTCAGAAGGAAAGCGAGAGGCTCCGGAGGTCTGCTGGCCCTTTCTTTCCACAAGCGGAGCCAAAACTCTGCAGCAAGCTTAAGCCTGCCTTCCTGTTCTCCTCAGCTTTGGTGCCTGTGTGTAAAATCATCCTCTGCATTTCAAGAAGAGTGTATTTTACCTTTAGAAGCCACATCTGTTAGGCCCTGTAGAAGGTATATTTCTGTCTTCGCTAAGCAGATGCTCCCACTTGCCTAAGGACTTGCAGTATAGATGCAGCTGTTGCCTCTCTGCCCTCGTGGAAACCCTGGTGGCTGCGGACACCCCAGTCCCTTGCTGCATCTCAGGTGGAATCCAAACCTTAGCAGTGAGCTAGGAACTCCCCAAAGTGCTCTGGCAGCCTCTGCTCAGCTTGGATCTACATTGTCCAAGGTACCTAGGTAAGCTGATCTTCCAGGTAAACGCCATCTCTCCACCTGATTGCACTTTCCTCCCCAGCTGGTGAGACATCGACTTAGCCTACAAGCTAGCTTTAGGACAGGCTGGTTTTTGTTTCTTCTTAGCTCTCCTGTTTTCCTGTTCCCTTAGGGCAGCGCTGAGGGGAGGCGCCCAAAGGCTGGTGCCCAGAGCTTTGCTATCTGGTGCCGACTTGGCTCATATAGCATCTGCCTCCCCTGGGTTTTAGCTTCTCTTCCAAGCTCTGCTTTAGAGCAGCCCACGCCTCAATGCCGGCTCCGCGAGAGGCTGACAAGCAAATGGGAGGTTCCCTTTGAATTCTTATGCCCCAAACCTCTTGTCATTTTCTAGTGTCAGAGATGACACTAATGCTTTTCAGCTGGCGAATATCTCAGCAGCGCTTTTGTGGCTGAGCGCATACAGAGAATAAAAGAAACCTGGCAGATGTGTGAGGCTGAATTATTATCAACTCAGCTGAAATTATTTTACTGGATTAGCCCTCGTAGGGCGTAGGCCAAGATGGAACAGGAGCCCAGAACACGTCTATTTGCAAGAGAGAGGGAGGAACGGAAAGGATTGGCCTCCCCTCAAACAATGGCCAAGTGAGAGGGTGAGGGGCAGCGGGGGAGATGGGGGAGGGGTGGAATAGAGAAAACTATAGGAAGACAAAAAATAAGGCTAGAGAGGAAAGGAGGAGAGAGAGCTACAGGCAAACCTTCAGTTTTCATTAATTCTGTGCATTACCGCTATTTGGGATTGAGTTTATTTATAACTTGAGGAGATTGAACTAGACGTCTTCAGTGGCTATTCTACTTGCAAAATTATTTAAATCCCTGAGTCTGATTCAGATCACCCACAAGCTGACTCTTTAGGCCGCCTGTTATCTGTTGGTAAAGACTGTGTCGTCGGTTCACTTTGCCCCCACTTGAAAGGTAAAATGATCTGAAATCCAGTTTTCTGTGAACTTGTTCTGCTATGACTCCCTCCCCGTCTCTTTCTCCCACTGCAAATCCTGTGAATTTGTATTTCTGCCTCGCCTGTGATTCCATAGTCAGAATCCATTTGTTTACTCATTCGGTAAACTTCATTGATTGAATACCTACAATGCTCACTGATACGAAGATACCTAAAAAATCCCTCTTCTCAGGAAACTCATTGTCTGGTGCAGGGGACAGACACATAGTTATAATGTCATAAGCTCTGTAACTGAAATAATCTTTGGGTATAGTAGAAGCCTGGGAGAGATACTCCCAACCCTGGGGGTTGGCAGGGAATGAGGGAAGACTGCTCAGAGGAGGTGTCCTTTAAGTCTGAAAGATGAATCTGCATGACAAGGAGAGATGGGACCATGCCTAGCAAAAGGAGCAGCATAAACAACATCAGGAGGACATGAATCTGCATCTATACATGGTAAATAGGGGTGGCATTTGAATTACAGCTGGTAGCCCTTCTGAACAGTTATTAAGTCGACATTAAATTTTACACACACACACTCTCATCTTTTTTACAAATTCACACCAAGCTTGATTCATCTGGTATCTTTGGTATCAAAAAAAAGGATTTTTATTTTTTTGCCTAATTTAAAAAAAAATCCTTGGGAAAAAAGTTAAAAAAAAAAAAAAAGCCTAAAAAGAAAAAGAACGAAAACAGCAAATGTTGAAGACAGGGAGCAGTGAGAAACCCCTGTACACGGCTGGTGGAAACATCAAATAGTGTAATCACGTTGCAAACAGTTCTGGCAGTTTCTCATAAAGTTAAACATATACTGTGATCCAGAAATTCCACTTCTGAGTATTTACCCAAGAGAAAAGAAAACATATGTCTGCAGAAGGGCATGTACAAGAATGTTGATAACCACTTTATTCTTAATAGCTTCAAGCTGGACGCAACCCAAATCTCCATCAACAGGAAAATGGATAAATAAACCGTGGTGTATTCACATAATGAAATACCACTCGACAATAAAAAGGGACGAGTTATTGATGTATACAACAAAATGTATGAACCTCAGAAACATCATGCTGGGCAAAAGAAGGCAGACACAAAAGAATACCTTCTGTATGATTTCATTTATTTGAAGGTCTATAATAGGCAAATTTTATCTGCAATGAAAGAAATCAGAACAGTGGCTGTCTTGGGGTAGGAGGTATTGACTGGGAAGGAGTGGGAAGGGTCTTCTGGGACGGTGAAAAGGATCTATATCATCACATGGGTGTGGGTTACAGGTGGGCAAGTGTCAGTTCATCTGTACACATAAAATCAGTGCATTTCACTTTATGAAAAGTGTACTTCAATTAATAAACACTGGAGTCAAGATATGGAGAAGGGCAGGGATGGTTCAAAATTAAACACAAAGGCCTGGCGCGGTAGCTCTTGCCTGTAATCCTAGCATTCTGGGAGGCCCAGGTGGGAGGATCGCTTGAGGTCAGGAGTTTGAGCCTGCAGTGAGCTATGATGATGCCACTGCACTCTACCCAGGGTGACAGAGCAAGACTCTGTCTCCAAAAAAAAAAAAAAATTAAACACAAGATCATGAGAACAAATAAATGGAAACATAATTGGAGAGAAAACAGGAACACACACGCATACACACACACACACGCACATCCCTGATCTACGGACCTCAGCTGGCATGTGTGACGTGAGCAGGGTAATGTGAACATAGAACGCGATAACATAACATCTCCTGCACTCTTGCTCCTTTTTTGTTTTGGCTGCACAGATGACAGTTGCTGGGAGTGAACACAGTTTTACAGTTCCACTCTGTACTATTAAAAAAATACTTAAATAGGATTAGGGAATCGCAGATGTTCAGAACCAGACAAGACTCCCGCATGTTACAAATGGGGAAACGGAGGCTGGCCCTCGAAGGGCCTTCCCACGGCCAAACAACTATCCCTAAAGGATAGCAAAGCCGACCAACATTGGCGGGTGGAAAAGCAACCCCGGCTTCTACGATATTTTTGGAATAACAATCTCTATTGTTTAAAATCACTGTATATTCCTCTGCACCTGGTAATAAAAGGATAAGATTACTATTTACTGAGTGTCTTTGGTGGGCCAGGCACCATCTCGGTTCTTCACGCACAGCATTCCTAATCCATCCTGACAACCGTGCAAGGTGAGTACTGCTACCTGTATTCAAAGATGAAGAAATGAAGAATCGAAAAGGTTAAATGCTTTGCTAATACTTGCTAGCACAAAAGCTTAAGTCTGTTTCATTCTAAAATCCGTGATGTGTCCAGGAAGGCTGCTTAACACTTGAATGTAAAGTTACTCTTCTTAATCAATACTTACGCAACTGGGCCTCTTTAGGTATTAAATGTAATGGCCTTTGATTATTTTGGTCTTTTATCACATTTGTATATTCAGTACTAGTATCAGATATTTTTCTCCTCCTGGAATTTCTCTATTTAGCATTTGAATACTTACATGGAAATTTTCACCCTGTTTTCCTTTGTAATTTTCAGACAGACAAATTCTGGATCGCTTTATTCGTTCTCACTGTGACACTGACAAAGGGAAGAAATGAAAAAGGAAAATAGTTCAAATGAAGAAAATCTGAAAATTAATGGAAGTGCTAGGAACTGCCTAGTCATTTTCTCAATAATCAAGGAAAAATAAGACAGAAATTGCTCCAAATATGTTGTGATAGTTATGAGTTTGTATATTTTGCTTTGTTGTAGTTTTAAATAATAAAATCATTTAAGGCTACACATTTTCCCCTGAATATAGCTTTAGCTGTGTCCAATAGGTTTTGATGTAATGTTTTTTCTTTTCCCTTTAGGATATTTAATTTGAGGTTTCAATTTTGACTTTCTCTTTGAGCCAGGAACTATGTGGAAGAGATTTCTTAATTTCCCAATAATAAGAGAATTTTAAAATCTTGTTATTGTTGATTTGTTTATTGAATAAATTAAAGTAAAAATCTCTGCTTTGGAAAGTTTATCAAAATTTTCTTTAATACCATGAATCAATATCTGATTAATTTTT